TTCACTGACCTTGACCACTCATGTGAGGTCATATTTTTGATTGGCCATTCTTCACCCTTTTCTAGATCAGATGCAGTTGCAGAATGACTCCCAGATCCTGCACCATCTACAAATTATCTCCCCTTTAAAAGGCGCAAGCTAGCCTTAAGTAATGCAAGTTCCAAATGACGTTAAGTTCCCTACTGATATGTGCAGTGAATTAACAGCATGGTTAGCAGTGGCTGCAAAAATCTTTCAAATGAACGGCATAAGAAGCTGCCATGCTATTCACATTACATTACATGCATGCAAAAGATTCCCACCCTCATTTTCAGCAACTATCCAATTTAGCTAGTAGGCAAAATTAACTTATTGTGTGGAGTACCTATTTAGTAATGGTAACTGATTGAATACTGCATAAAGTTCCACTTGTAGCTTTTAATATTTGTTTTTAATTTCAAAGGTAGAGGTTAAATTTAATGCTGCAAAAATCTCATAATCCTCTCATGAGAATTCATATTCAGTCGTCCAATTCAAAGTAACAGGGTAATTTAATTTTGTTTCACATTTCTGTCTCCCCATGGGAACACAAATATATTTTGCATACAAATATATCATGAAGCAGCCTAGGAAGCAGATGTATGGTACAGCAAACTGATGTGCTGGACTTGTCAAATATACACAAGCTGCTTTCCTAGTTGCTGTTGAAAGACAGCAAAAGACAGTAAAGTGTAGTCTTCCCATTAAAAGGCAGATCGGTGATGGCTTCTTGCTTCTTCACAGAACCTACCTACAATGAACAGCAGCAGTTTCTGAATAAGCACCCACTGAATAAGCACCACAGCTTTGCCAGGAGCAGAGTCAGGGATTTAACCAACCAGCAAATAGGAAACCTTAATATGCCATTCTTATGGTAATAGAGAGACTCCTAAAATTTTTGAACACAATATTAAATCCCGAAGGCTGCCAGGTCCCCAAGGGAAAATGAGGTGCTGTTTTCACAGCTTGCACTGAGCTTTGCTGAGGCACTGCAGGAAGCCCGGGACTGAGATGTTGGCTAGGGAACACAGTGATGCGTTGAAGTGACAGGCAACAGGAAGCTTAGTGTCATTTTGGCAGACAGAACATTGGTGGTCTGCAAAGTGGTCACCTAATCTGCATTTTTTTTTCCCCAGTGTAGAGCAGACCACATCGTGACCAGAGAATACATGAGACTAGATTGAGTGAAGTGCAAGTAAATCACTGCTTCACCTGGAAGGTGTGTCTGGGGCCTTGGTGTGAGGGAGGAAGTAAATGGGCAGATGTTACATTTTCTGTGATTACTATGCTTAGATCTAATTTAGAGTTTCTGGATCCATTCTGGACAGTGCACCTCAGGTAGGACATATTAACATTGGAGGGATGCGGTAGAATCACGGGGAACATACAGTGACTAAATGGTCAAATAATAAAGACAGTACCTCTCATTCAGCCTTCTCTTAAGAATAGAGAATGAATGGATGATTGAAGATGATTCAAGGATTTGATAGAATAGATGGAGAAAAATTATTTATTTTGGTAAGAAGCCCAGAGCGTAAGGGTATAAAGGTAAAGTTAGAACAAGGCTGTAAAGAAGGTTATCTCAGGAAGCCCTTCTTCAAGTTGAATGATGGGAATCCAGAATTTTGTCCCCTCAATGCTATTAGGTTATATTAATTCATTGTATCATTGATAGCCACAGGTGAGGTGCCAGAAGACTGGAGGTTGGCTAATATGATGCCATTATTTAAGAAAGGCGGTAAGGAAATGCCAGGGAACTATAGACCAGTGAGCCTGATGTCAGTGGTAAGGAAGTTGTTGGAGGGGATTCTGAGGGACAGGATTTACATGTACTTGGAAAGGAACAGGTTGATAGGGATAGTTAACATGGGTTTATGCATGGGAAATCGTGTTTGACTGACTTGATTCAGTTTTATGAAGAAGTGTCAAAGGGGATTGATGAAGGCAGAGCAGTGGATGTTGTTTATATGCACTTCAGCAAGGCGTTCGATAAGGTTCCACATGGCAGACCGGTTAACAAGGTTAGATCATGTGGAATACAGGGAGAACTAGTCATTTGGATACAAAATTGGCTAGAAGATAGGAGACAAAGGGTGGTGGTGGAGGGTTGCTTTTTGGACTGGAGGCCTGTGACCAGCAGTGAGCTGCAAGGATTGGTGCATGGTCCACTGCTTTTTGTCATTTATATAAATGATTTGGATGTGACTATAGAGGTATGATGAGTAAGTTTGCGGATGACACCAAAATTGATGGTGTATTTGGCAGTGTACAATGGAACCTTGATCAGATGGGCCAATGGGACAAGGAGTGACTGATGGTGTTTAATTTAGATAAATGTGAGGTGCTGCATTTTCTAAAGGCAAATCAGGGCAGGACTTAAATACTTAATGGTAAGGTCCTGGGGAGTGTTACTGAACAAAGGGACCTTGGGGTGCAGGTTCATAGTTCCTTGAAAGTGGAGTTGCAGGTAGACAGGATAGTGAGGAAGGTGTTTGGTACACTTGTCTTTATAGTTCAGTGCATTGAATGTGGAATTGGGAGACTGTATAGGACATTGGTTCGGCCACTTTTGAAATACTGTGTTCAATTTTGGTCTCCCTGCTATAGGAAAAATGTTAAACTTGAAAGGGCTCAGAAAAGAGTTACGAGGATTTTGCTAGGTTTGGAGGGTTTGAGCCATAGGGAGAGGCTGAATAGGCTGGGGCTGTTTCCTCTGGAGCGTCGGAGGCTGAGAAGTGACCTTTATAGAGGTTTATAAAATCAGGAGGAGCATGAATAGGGCGAATAGCCAAGGTCTTCTCCTAGGATAGAACTGTCCAAACTACAGAGCATAGGTTTAAGGTGAGAGGGGAAAGATTTAAAAGGGCCCTAGGGGGCAACTTTTTCACACAGAGGGTAGTGTGTGTATGGAATGAGTTGGCAGAGGAGATAGTGGAGACTGGTACATTTACAGCATTTAAAAGGCATCTGGATGAGTATATGAATAGGAGGGGTTTAGAAGGATATGGACCAAATGCTGGCAAATGGGACTAGATTAATTTAGGATATCTGGTTGACATGGACGAGTTTGACCGAAGGGTCTGTTTCCATGCTGTATTTCTGTATGACTCTAGAAATACAAAACAAAGATGAAGAAATGCAGTTGAGATACAGATCAGCCTTGATCTAACTGAATGGTGAAACAGACCTATGGGGTTAAATTTTCTTCTCCTGTTCCACTAATCCTGACCTATTAATTTACTTTAACATGGATTAAGGGCATCTGACTGCAAATGGTTGAGAACATAGTGTGCTGTGCAGTACTGCTTACTGCTCTTATCCTAAACTGCCTTAGTAAGACCATTAGAACTTTTGCGGTATTAACTTGCCCTGCATCATGTGGTGCTGCTAGTACTTATCGCCCTGGCTACCTACTCTTTGCATCCCTTTGCTTGAAGCAGTACGATTCTCCTCTGACTAGCTTTGTGCTGGATAGCAACCCTTTTCAGACCTTGTGTAGAACCTGGAAAGAAATGAATGGAAGAGTTGTTCCAGAAGAATATTATTGGCACAGGATTTGGAATTGTATCTTGTTAAAGCTACAGCAGCCTACAGCAAAATGACAAAAATCCCAAATGGTTTCTTCATTGCATTTTTATTTCTGTTAACTCACTTGTATAAGCTTAGTTTGTTGTTGGATTTTATAAAACATCAATAATTACATAATATAGTGAATGTTATTGCATCCCCGATAGATTTTGCATGAAAAGTATCTGAACATTTTGAGTTTGTGCTTTCAGCTGTGGACCAGGATGGAAGAGGGAAGAGCTGAAAACAATGTTGAAAACTGCAGGGTGGTCTTTCAGCATGAGTGGCTGTATACCATTAAATATTTTTACTGGTGTACATTGCAACAACCTTATTGTCAGCTATTGTAATGTTGCAGCAAAATAATTATTTATCTTCTGTGACTTCACATCTGCCCAAGTCTTCATTCCTTCATAGGATGTGGGCATTGTTGGCAAAGTCTGCATTTACTACTCATCCTTATGCCTCTGGAGAATTTCAAAGGGCAGTTAGGAGTAAGTGGATGGGAGCCACATGTAGACCACACTAGGTAACAATAGCAGTTTTCCATTCCTAAAGGGCATTAGTAAACCAACTGGAGTTTTATGACAATCTGGCAGCTACTTGATCTAGCTTTTTATTCCAGAATTATTTAATTAACTGACATAAAATTCTCCAGCTCCCATAGTGGGATTTAAACTTAGGTCTCTGGGTCGTTACTCCAGGAGTCTGGACCATTAGTCCAGGAGCATAACCAGTACAATACCATCTCCAGCTACTAAGGATTTTCAGCTCGCACTCCAGCTGCCATATCTGAAATTGCACATCAGACGCGCACAGCCTTTCATGTGTTGATTTCAATGGATGAAAAATCTTAACTCAAACCAAGTTCCTTTCACTCATGACCCCTGATAATGGCCGACATTGGCTTCCAGCTAGGCAGTGCTTTGATCTTAAAGTTCTCGTTTTTTAACATATACTCCATGCAGCCTCTTTTCCTCTTCAAAATCTACGACTGTTCAAGATCTCTCACAGTTCTGACCTCTTGTGCATTCTGATTTTCATTCCAGCACTGGTGGCTGCACTGTTAGCTTCTGAGACATAAGCTCTGGAGTTCCCTCACTAAACCTCTTCCACATTTCTTCCCCTTTCTTTCCGTCATTAAAACACTTTTTAATATGTTCAGATTCAGTGTCAAACTTTGTCTGATACCAATCATGTGAAGTGCCTTGGGATGTCTTTGCTTTGTTAAAGGCACAATGTAAATGCTTATTGTTGATTTCTTGATCTGTTTGGCCAGTTGAGGTAAGATTTTCTGTTATGGTGTGCATTCAGAACATCAGCCATTACATTAGTGTATCTTCTAATCCTTGTACATTACCTTCTCTTAGTTGCCATCAACATTATTTCATTTTCCATTTTCCTTTATTTTTCAGAAATCCTGACAAAGGAATTCAGTTCCTGATTGCGCGTGGATTCATCCCCGACACAGCGATCGGAGTTGCCCACTTCCTGCTGCAGCGAAAAGGATTGAGCCGCCAGATGATTGGAGAGTTTCTGGGCAACAGCAAGAAGCAATTCAACAGGGATGTTTTGGAGTGAGTAGTGGCAATATGTTCCTCCCCCACCCATCACCTCCATGCTTCATTTAACAGCTCATAGACCAAGAGGTCATTGACCCTCAAAGATCCTGTAGAAAATTATAACAACGTCTTGGTGAAAAAGTTCTGTTTCATAATCCAAAAGAACATTGCAATTTTCATAAATAGTTAAAATTGCTTTTACAATGCCTAGTGCCAATATGAGTACTTTGATAGATGCAGCAGCAGCAAAAAAAAAGCCATCCAAAGTACAGTGTGGCAGATGAGCTGTTCCTGAGGAGAGGCACAAGAGGCTTTTAAATATAAATTTAAAAGCAGAAAAATTGCTGCTGGAGGAAAAGCAAAATACAATCGCAGTACTTTCATAGAGTTCTGAAATGTGGGGATGGGGAATTCTGAAAGACCTGTATTGGAACAATACAGAAAAGATCTTCCTCTATTCAGGAAACAGAGTTAATCATGAGAGCACTGCATGTGCATACTGCTGGGCCAGAAGCTGCACAGCTAGACTTCCTCTTCAACTTAACCTAATTGAAGGGCACAGCTAGAAAAAGAAAAGGAATAGTTGGTGCATTGTGAACTTTAAAGATACCAACAACATTTAAAAAAAGTGGTTACCATTAGAGGTGAAGAAGATTTTGTTTTTTAGGTAACGCAGCAGTATTATTACATCTTCTGATGAAGTGTGTTAAGTTATTAAATGTACGCGTGCCAGAAGCTGCAAATTAAATGTTGGTAGTCTTTCTGTTTAATAAACGACACTGTTGTCTGTGAGAATGCCATGACTTGGATGCCAGTTGTATGCCAAGCACCAATCTGGACAGTTCATCCTTTTTTGTCTTTGCCTCTAGTAAACCTCTAAATAATGGTACTTACACACAGCACGCACAAGCCCAACAGCAAGGTGACCAACCCTTGATCTGTATAACTTTGCATTGACAGTTTCATTTCTATTGCTCAATAAAGAGCCATTAAATTAAATCACTCCAATGCCTTTTATGCATGGTTTATGTCAGGTACAATTGGCTCAGCATCCCTGAGACTGGTTTTCCTGTGGTTTTGTGTGAGGGAGTGGTTTGTAGGGAAGTCTTCACAAAGGCATTGGAATATAATATAAGCTGTCTGGTAAATGTGAATTCTCAAATAGGTAGATGTGGAAGATCAGAGCAATACAAAGAATTATTATTTCTCTTCAGTGGTAACAGCTAGTTGCAGTCCTTAAAGTACCGTTGAATGTGGGCTGTCTTATTAATGTCATTTACAAACAGCCGGCTTCAACAAATTCTGCAAATACTGTTGTTTAAACAAAAATTACAAACCGGAGTCTAGACAGCTTCACACAAAATAGCTTCCCAACACTAACTGCATCTGACAAACACTTTCACCTTTCTCCCTGACCCAACCCACCAAAATTGATCAAGCCCCGGACCTCAAACAGACCCCTTGCCCGACCTGACCTCCGTGCCCCCCCCCAATAAAACCTGAAACCCCATGACCTGACACCCCTCCCTGATAAAACCTGACACTGCCATAAGCCAATAATGCCCACCCCAATTAAATCCAATGCTGCTATAACCCATGAACCCTCCTCATTAATCCTGACACTGCCATAACCCATCAACCTCCCCCCCATTAAACCTGACACTGCCATAACCCAACAACTGCCCCCATTAAACCTGATGCCACCATAACCCATCAACCCCTCTCCATTAGACCTGACACCCCCATGACCCAATATCCCCCTGATTTAATCTGGCAACTCCATCACCTGTCCTGATATCCCCCTCTCCCCAATAAAACGTGACACCCCATGACCTGTCCCGACATTCCTCCCCCCAATAAAATCTGACATTCTGCCATACCGATACCCCCCACTGAGAGGACTCAATAGAGTCCCCGAAGCGACAAACAGCCCAACCCAACCTGACATTTCCACCCGACCTGAACTCTACACCCCCTAATTCTGATCCAATGCCTTCCCCCTCACCTGACTGAACAGCATCCCATCCAGTCGCAACCTGAGGCTGGCACAGCCCCCACCCTCCACTGTGCCCAACTCTCCCCCAGCATACCCAACCCGAGGCACTTGTATTTACCTGGCATATTACCCATCTGGCAATTTATCCCCTTCAACCACCTCCCCCTGCAGCCCCCTCTCCCCTGCTGCTCCCTCACTTACCTCTCATACTTAGCCTTTCACAGTTGCTGGACATTTAAATGACAGAATATGGTACTCAGTTCCCAGGTAGTTGGTATCTCAGTCTGATTCTCTGATGGAACCTGCCTTTTTGTACTACTCACCAAATCATTCTCCACTTTGATTCATGCTATCCGTTTTAGGTTTTTCTCATCATGGTGCTCATTAAGCTGGAAGATGGGTAAACAATCATAGTGTGGTTAGAACAATGGGGAGCAAGAAATGTATGGTTAAGTATTGAGGATGTGTACTATTCTTTTGGATGATAGAAGAAGGCATTATATCAGAGACTGGAGATTCATATGGAGGGCATATCTGCAGACATGATTCGATTTCAAAGGAGAAGCTTCTGGCTCTAGTGGAAAGACAGGATCCTTTTGGAAAAAACGTTTATGAGCAACAGAAGAAATACACTGAGAGAAGCCAACCTTTGATCTGAAGAAACCATGTAGCATGATCTTCGTGCGTGACCACCATAATTAATTTTGTTCCTTGCATTACGACAACACGTACAAGTTTGAATGCAAGATTTCATTTAACTAATCAAAGGAGGATTCCTTAGAGTCTCCCACCAGAGTTACAATAGAAGGCTGGCACAGCCATTACAGAATTTCAAAGCCAAGCGCTTTAAATGAATTAATAATAAGTTTGAACAAATTTTAAATCATAAAATAAGCCAAGACGACTGTTTATCATTGTCATCTGAGTAATTTGGGGCCTAACCAATTCCTTAATGATCTGTTCGCCACAGTTAATACTGATTAATGAACAAGTTGAAGAAATGTCAACTTTGATTTAGTCAATCCTCTCAGTTTAAAGGTTGCTAAAAATCACCAAAGCACAATAATATGTTCTGGATTAGCACTGGCTGTTCAAAGGTGCTGTTGCCTCCAGGAGACTGTGCCTTAGTTTCAAACAGAGCTGCCAGTCTGCATTATCAAAGACAGGAAAAGAAAAGCAAACCAGCTTCTATTTTTAACACAGCAACATCTTTGGAGAGTTTCAAGGATGGAGACCTATTTTGATCCACTTTGATTATCTCTGTTTATTACCATCTTAAACAATTACCAATAAATAAGAATGACCAATTCACCTTTTATCCTGTCTTCTCAGATAAACATGTGTAAGCTCAGAACTGAACACATGGAAGCTCATGAGGATTCATATGCTATTGTACTGTTGAAACTGTGGCATTTTTGGCATCAATTATTAGAAGATGAAACTGTGGTATAGCTTGCTGTAACAGCTTTCTTCCAGTCTTTTGCACAGAACTTGGATAGTTACATTTAAATTCATGCAGTAGAGATATTAATGGAAGAATTGGTTAGCAGACTCTTCAATACCTTTTCAATTTTGGTTTGAATATATCTTAGGCTCATAGAATGAATGTTGCTGGTTACAAGGATCTAAAATGAAAAGAATTTTTTAACGTCTGTAAGGATATTTACAGAATACACAAATTAATGTTGACTGTAATTACTGTGCTTGATATGCACTTTTCATCTGTTATAATGGAAAAAGATGATCATTGTTTTATTTCTCTGTTGATTTTGAGACAGTTATGACAACAACAACACCAGTTTGTTATTTCTGTTGTTTATGTGGTCAGGTGGCTGTGTAATCAGCCTGGAGGCAGCATGTTAATTAGCTGCCATTGGGAATGCCATCCAATAAAGGGCGTTAAGTGCACTGCACAGACTGGAGGGCTAGTTTAAATATCTGAAGCTCTAAGCAGCAGGCAGACCCATTGGGAGAAATGGCAGTGTTACTCTAGAAGGAGACTGGCTAAAGACTTTTAAGTAGGGCCATGGCTCTGAGGAATTTAAAAGAGCACTCTCACTCCACCTTTCCCCCAGTCTCCTCCTCTCCTCAGCCTGCCAATTCTAAGCTTCAAGCTTCAATCTCAGTGAGGGGTCTGGATGCATGCTGGTAAAATCCTGGTGGTGCCTGAAATTGCTTTTGAGTGGACACTTAATAGCTGATGTATCTAGTAAGATCACTTGGAGACAAAAAATGCAGTGGATAGCAGACCAGGTGCACGCATTTCAAAATATTCTCAGACTTCGTGTGTCTGATGTGGTTCCTCCCACAGTTCACTCCCATAAATCAGGACTCCAATATATTTCTGATCCAACAGTCTAAAGGTTATCGGAATTTGTAGGAATGGTCTTGATGTTTGATGTTAACCGAGTCATTGATGTGATGTTTAGACATGATGGATATAAATAGGTTGCCAACTGTATTAAAAGTGAACAAAAGGAATTTCGTTCAAACGCACAGAACAGTCTCTTGCCAGAGGAAATCAAATCCCTATAGATTAGATGACATAGGACATCAAAACAATAAATTTTTGCATCAGCATTTCAGGCAGGTTTTAGTAGTGAGGAATCAACATGAATCATTTACATAATAACACACGACTACAGCTTAGAAATGCTGAAATAAAAGTCGCCTTAGATCTAAAATTCTGTCTAAAATAGTGAAGGTGAAGCTAAAATTAATATTTTTTATGAACTTAGAAACCAAGACTTTTGTCCTTCAGTTGCCTGCTGCTCTTGTCTTTTCGAGCTTTCAGTGATTTTCAGATCACTGCCTTTTCTCATTTACTACGTTTTTCATGAGTTGGAATCAGCAACTCATTACAGCTAGCTTTTTGCTCTAAGCTGAGGCCTCAGTGAACCACAGAATCCTGCAGATGGAGAGAAATAGGTCACACACACCGGGTTAAACCAAAGTGATCTGAAGGATAACATTTGATTTTATTTTGTTTGCAGCTGATAAAATTGTGGGTTTATCCTTC